CGACACCTGACCTGCAAGTGAACTTAGATTAGGGAGTAAGGCTACAGATAAGATCACCCCACTGAGAACCAACCAGGAAATCTCCATCGGAAAAGTGAAGATACCAAGTTCTTCTAGGGCCAGGACACTAATTGGCCTGCATATTTAGTTTGAGAGAGTCCCACTAAAAACATAATAACCATAGGAGCATAGATGTATAAGACAGACTCCTGGGAAAGTCTGTGCATACAGGTGTGTGTTGTAGGCGTGTGTTGCAAGATTTCCATGTGATTTGTTTTTATTTAGATACAGAATCTATTCCTTTTTATAAAAGGAGTCCTATTGTGAATTCTTTTGTAATGAGCAGGATCTTTGACAAGGAGAAAATTAGCAATCAACTTACTCTTAAGGTGTACTACTTGCTTAAGGAGTTAACAGTAGTAAAAAAAAAAGGCTTCTACAAAGGTAAATGCAGTTAATAAATATTTTTGTGAGTTCCCACTGTATGCAAGATTTTGTATTTGGTTTGCACAGCTTAAATGAAGCAGTAAAGCATCTCCTTCCATGGAACTCACTATTCAAAACAGACAATAGCCTCTATGTAAGTTATTATTTAAAATACAGCATAATACTAAATATATACAACATACATTTCTAAAACTAAAAGCAAGAGAAAACAAGTTTCATGTAGCAGGTAAAATATGAAATAGGCCTGAAAAAGTGAGAAGATAATTTTTAAGCAAGTAAAAGAGGCAAGAAAGTGTTTTCAATGCAAAGCAAATGCAAAAACAATAATGTCAAAAAAAATGTGTATTGACAAAACCCGGAGCTCTGAAAACACTGTTTTATATATTGGAAGAGTATCTCAGGGTGGCTAGATCATAAAACTGCATCCTGAGAAGTGTGGACTCGGGTGTGTCTCCCATGATGAGGAGTTACTTCCCTCTATTACATAGATAATGGGAGATCATTAACCGTTCTTGAGCATGGGAATGGCATCATTAGATTTGTGTTTAAAAATAATTAAATGGCAGTGTGGTGAATGAATTACAGAGTGGAGAATATGTGAACAGAGTAAATGAAGTACTTATTGAGCTAATTGGATAATGTACAAGAGAACACTGCGCAAATTTATAAATAACTAAGCTACTGAGTAGAAATTGCTGAAATCTGTTGTGAAGGAAAAAAAATGAAATGATGCGTACCTAAGTCTTGAAGGTTTCAAGGGCATTAGGAAACAGCAAATATTTGAGAGATATTTTAGCAGTAACAGTAACAATAAGCACCTCTTACAAGGATATTTTGTCCTGAGTATTCGTATGTGAAGTGCTTTGGACAGCCTTTAAGGAGAAACAACCTTACAAATCTTACAAAAACTCAGGAAACTGAGGGGACACTGCGGTGCTTGCTGTGATCTTAAACTGACAAGTGAAAAGAAGAGGCGAGGCCTGTCAGTCTGCCTCAAGATATTCTCTTCAGTATTATTACACAAGGAACTAATCCATCTCATGGAGTAGGACATAAGAAGAGTGAGAAATCCTCTGTAGTTGTCATTAGGAAAGTGTCTTTGCAAACACCAGGTTTTCAGAATATTAAATGATGTTATGCAAGATGGGGGTTAACATCAATAAAACATGGGGCTAAACAAAACAGTCAATAATCAAGCACCCCACTGAAAGACATCTATGAGCTCTCAAAGTTTTCTACTGTAAATATCCAATGAAATATGATATAGTAGGTAAATTCTCCCAGATCATAAATCCCTTTTATAAATTATGATTTTTATGGGACTTTGTCCCTGGGACATAATTTGGAAGCTGCTGGTGGACGTATCCTACTTTGGGCATTGGGTCCTGGATCAGTGGTGCTTCGGATAAAACAAGAAATTTGGTTTAGACTTCTAGAATGGAAGGTGCCTGATTGAAAGGGGCAAACTAGAGTGATGAGGATTGAGTCTTAAGAGAGTCATTATTAAGAGTCATAATTGGAGGTGCAGGTGTGCTAGTGCCCCAGGCATCGTGTGTGGGACAACGAAGACAAGCTTGGTGTCAATGCCTATCATATTAAAAGAGAGAACACTGGAGAAGGAGACCAGGGGCACATTCCTATGCACCCCCACACATCAGCAGTTCATACAAAGCTCAGCTGATGCTTAGTTGAAGGTTAAATCTAATGATATTTTGTTAAATTTTTCTAAATAATACGGTTTGCTAAGTTTTAGCATTTTTGTGTGTAAAATTTAAATCCTATTTTTCTAGTGACCACATTTTCCCCACATAGCTAACCACATAGAGGCATTAATTTGTTTGTGAAGGTATTATCCTGGTTAATTAAGGAGAGGTGGCCTTAAGTATTCACAGAGCACAACCCCCTATGAGTGTGTTACATAAATTTAAGAAAATAGTGTTAGTTTCTGAATGCAGCCTTGAATTTTAAAAACGAGGTCTCCTATTAGTTTAATCCATGGCAACAGAAATTTTTCTCAAACCAAATAGTTCCAGAAGGAACTATTTTAGCAGCAACATCTGTAAACCATTCTAAAGAGTTGCAATAAAAAATAAAATCATATAATATCTGAACAGAAATAAGAAGAGCCAAATTGGATTCCTCTCTGGAAAATGGGCTTCAAATTGTATTCTGAACCTACAGACTATTAGTGGGGGGAGGTAAAATAATATCATGCTAAAATTATTTAAAAACAAAGAGTGCCAGGCAATCATGCCACTGAGTCCTAGATTTTGTTGAGGACATTTCCAACGTCAAGACCAGTGTTGACATAAAAGGAGCTAGAATGAGGGAGAAAGGGGAGAAAGTTCAACCCATTTGTTCACTCTCTTGACCTTCCTCCAGTTTTATAGACTTCTTTTTTTTATAAAGACAATTTTTCAACTTTTTTTATTTGAATTAGAAACAGGATTGTTTTACATGACAATCCCAGTTCCCTTCCCCGTCCCGTTATCCTCTACCCTCCCCCAACTAAAACCCTGTCTATCACATATCTTTTCTGATCCCCCTGGATGGTGAGGCCTTCCATGGGGGGGTGCGTCATCAGAGTCTACCATATCTTTTGGGATAGGGCCTAGGCCCATCCCGGTGTATCTTGGCTCAGGGAGTACTCCTCTATATGGAATGGGAATGAGTACACCAAAGCACAACTTTGGCCTTGCAATTTTTTGTTGACAAAATCTTATTGTTGTCTGCCCAATGGATCTTGAAGTCCAATCAAGAGAAACATTGCAGGCTTGAAGGTTTGGGGGCTTTCTGCATTATCTAGTTTTGATATCTTCTCCCATCTCCACTCCAACCCTCAGCCTCTTCCCTTCCCCTTTTCTCTGCCTTTTCCTTTACTAAAAAATAACAGTGTATTTTATTAACTTAGCATATCCCAAATGCTATCATTTTAGACTGTTACCAATATAAAACATCATTAATGAAATATTTCATATACTAGCTAGTAAGCTTTCAAAACCCAATGTGTATTTTGCATTCATAGAATATTTTGATAAACAGCAGCATGTTTGGAGGGCTCATGCATCATCTGAGGCTGGTGTCCTTCATGATAAATGCCTCTGCATTTATTAATATAAGATGAGAATCTACAGATTTGAGAAATAATTTAAACGATTTTTTCAAGGTTTTTTTCAATCATAGTAGAATATTCCTAACATAAAATTTACCATTTCCTCCATTTTTAAGTGTGCCATTCGGTGGCATTAGGTCACTCACAACATCGAAACCATTACCATTATCCATTTCCAGAACTTTGGCCAGCCCTTGATAACCTCTATTCTACTTTCTGTCTCTGCAGATTTGCCTATTGTGCGTACCTCATGCAAGTGAAGTCATGAAGTATGTTGTTATATGTCTGCCTTATTTCATGGATTATAAGTCTCCAAAGCTCACCCATGTTTCTCTCCCTCCTGCTTGAGAGATTAGTTAACTCTATGCTTACTAACTATGCACAAAACACATTCTGTGAACCTTTGATCATTGTCCTTCTTTCTTATATTTCTTTTCATACCTGATCGTCTCCAGATAGAGCTAAATCTTTCTTCCAACACTAAACCATGCAGAATTTCTAACACACTAAATTTGTTCCAAGTTTTGTTATGGCTGTACAGAACAGCTCTGTTAGGTAGCAGAAAGATTCACACAGTCTCGAGTCCACCAGACCTCAGTTTCAAATGCTGTCTCTGTGTCTTATTAGCTAAGCTGTCTGTGTAAATTCTTTAAACCTGGCTGATCCTCAATTTCCTTATCTTTAAAATGAAGACAGGCTGTCGTGGGCTGCACTCCTCGGCACTCTGCTTGGCACTGAAGCCTCAGCAGACACCAATCCCATGTTTAGTGGAGCTTAATCTCAAACTTGCTTTCCAAATAAGTAGATATCATTGCCAAAGACTAGAGAAAAATGACTTACGTTATCCAACTACTTAGTCAATGAGATAAATTATATGTATACAGCAGTACACTTCCTAGCATGAAGGACCTTAGTAAATGGCCGATCTGTTGTTATTGTTTATAAGCATAAACTTCAGTAAGAAATGACTTATGTATGATTCATCTTTGGATTTCTGCCAATATTTAGCAGCGCTTAGTTGATGTTCAGCAATTACTCATGGAATGGGAATCTCCAAGCAGCTGGGTGAGACTTGTGAGGTAGGAGATCATGATTCTGGCTATGCAAAGACAGGTACAACGGTAGCGCTTGGTTCCATCTCCCTTTCTTTTCTGTCTAATTTTGTTTTTGAGACAGACCTTCTTTGTGTAGTCGTGGCTGTCTTGGAACTTGCTCTGTAGAGTAGACTGGCCTCAAAATCAGAGACCCACCTGCCTCTGCGAAGTGCTGGGATGGAAGGTGTGCATTACCACATCTAACTGGTAGCATTTCTTTCTGAAAGAGTTCAAATGAAGAAGTACCAAGGAGTTAGCAACCAACTTAAGATCAGAAGAGGCAAGCAGAGCAGGACCTGGGAGAGAACAATGTCTCAAGTTACCTTTTGGAAGAATGAAGTGTATACTTGACTTCTTGGCCTTTTGGCTGCAATCAAGTGTATTATTTGTTCTTATCAATTTAGTGTGGGATATGTCCTCTGGCCAAGGACAAAAAAATTAAATGGCTTTTGGAGCAGAAAGATGGAATGCAGCATATCCACTCCACTCATCAGTCTGGCAGTGTCATTTCTCCTGAAATGGTACACGCCCTCGGTGATCTTAAAAACAAATAAGTAAATCAAGGATGCATAATCTAACTCTTTAAAACCAGTTTAACCATGGCTGGGTACAAAGTTCAGTTGAGTGAGGTAAGGCCACATTGTGATCATCATCCAGTAGTTCTCAGACTCTATCCCAACTAAGCAATAGCTCTCTTCACTCTCTACTCAGCCTTCAGCCACCGCCACATGATGTCCTCTTTCCAAGGAGAAAACTGTTTAAAAGAAAAGAAGATGGACTTCCAGTGATGAGCACTCAACCTTTCATTATCATTGAAGGTTAAAACAGACAGGAAGCAGACACGTCATGGCACATACAGCCTGTCACATGCCAAACAAATGAGACTGAAACTTGGAAATGGCAGATCCTCAGCTGGGAAGCCAGGAATGAATGTCAAGTCCTGTCTAGAAAGCAAGGGGAGGAGCAGTTCTGAAGTCCTGCTCAGCCTCTGGGTATTAGAAGAGGTAGAGGCCAAGAGCTGAATTAGGGGAGATGTCAGGTCCACAATCCAAGGGCAGATAGGAGACACCAATCAGAAGGAACAGAAAATGGAGAAAAAGGATGGATAAGGAAAGGGCAATAAACACAATTCTCATGTATACATCTGGGTGTCATGATCATGTTTTAATGGCCTATGAGGAGCTTCCTGTGTCACGCTAGGAGAGGCAGGCATCATGCTCCAGGTAGAACAAAGGAGGAAGCAGATGAAGGAGGAAGACTTTATGCCTCCCCTTGACCAGCTGGCACTCGTAAGAACCGAGGCTCATAAATCTTTTTGCCTGATTTCATCAGCGTAAAGATATGTCTTGGGAGGAGAGAAGGAGAGGTATTGAAAAACACAAAACACAACAGGATTTGTCAAGATTCCACCCGCTTTCAGATGAGCCTGCTGGGGAAAGAAGGTACTTTAGGAAAACAAAGGGGAAAAATCCAAACCCCAAAGCTTCGAAACTTAAAGTCATTAATCCCAGTGTGTAACTCATCTCCACCCATTCTTTTTATAAATGACCTTTGGCTGGTCCAATCCACTGGCCTTTGGCTCCCCCTAGGATGAAGTTTCTTACAGTTTTCAGCTCTTTGTATATTAAGCAGATTTGATGAATAAAACCAGATATTTTTCTTATCCTTCTATTGTGATTCTCAAACTTGCTCCATAATCTTGTTTTAACTCTTAAACTTGTTCCATGATCTTTTTCAAAGTTAAGTCACTCTGGTGAAGGTCTCTGAAAACTAAGGTTAACCCAATGAACAAGGCAAAATGAACTTTAATAAATCATTTAGCTACTACAAAAAAAATCAATTCCTTGACTACAAAACGCTAGACAGCACATTTCCTGTCTTCATAGCACAGCTGTGTTACCTGTAACACCTGTAAGCACAGACGTAGGAGGACAGTAGAGCCTGAAGTAGATGCAGGCTAAGACCATTGGGAGAAGGCCTATACTACAGCGAGACAAAGAATGCAGTGATGTGTAGATAAATGAAAAAGAATGACAATGATGGTGATACCCCATGCATGAGAACTTATAGGATGATGGTAAACATCAATGTGATAACGACAGAGTTAGAGAAGAAATGCCCAGAGTGGGAAACCGAACTTGTGTTTTGTTCTAGTGGGCAAACAAGCATCATGATTCATAGTACTACAGCTCCAGCTTCTGCTGTTGCCCACTGATAGCATCACGGTGCTCATGCTATGGGCCTCTGGACCATCTGGGCATTGAATTGGTCATCTTCCCACTTCTCTGCATTGGCCAGTCTCCCTCCTTACCTAATGTCCTTCCTTGTCCTCTGGTGCCTGCGTTTTCTATTTCTTCCCCAACCAAGTTTGACAATTTTATGTATTTATTTTAATTATGATTTGCTGACATGAAATCAAGATGTTGGCATAACTACATCCCTTCTAAGGTTGCAGGGAGAATCCATTTTCTTGCCTTTCCTGGCTTCCGAAGAGTGACACATCCTTGGACACACAGCCTTCTTCCCCAGTCTGGAAGCCCAGTGATGCAGCACCTCCTTGTCCCTTATCCCTGCTTTTCTTTATCTGGTCTCAGTTGAAAAAGGTTTCCCATTTTTAAGAACTCAAGTAACTCTGGAAATCCAACTGTGTAATTTAGGATAATCTCCCCATTTCCAAATCATGTTTGCAAAAATTGCTTTTGCTATGTGAAGTAGCTTATTCACAGGTTCTTGGGATTGGGGCTTGGACATCTTTGAAGGTTCTTATTCTGCCTACCATATTGAAGGACTAGAACATCCGGTTCTGTATAGAAGAAATGAAACCTATTCTCGCTAAAGGAAGCTTTCATCTCAGATGCTAGCTAAAGTGGAGAACACAGTGTGTTAATTCACAGTAAAGTTCCATAGTTTCTTGTAGCAGTGGATCCTAACTCTTAAAGAGCAAACTTTGGACTTCAGAGATGGCTCACTGTGTAAGGAGGAGAACCTTTGTTCAAATTCCAGCACCTAGGTAAACAACCAGGCACAGCTGTACATTTCTGCAACCCCAGCACTGAGGACAGAGACAGTCGGGTCCAGGAGCACTGGTCAGCCAGTGTAGGTGAAATGGTTCAGTAAGAGACCCTGTCTCATGGAAATCAGGTGGCATGTGACAAAGAAAGACATCTCATGTGTCCCTCTAGCCTACACAACCACAGGTATAAATGCATGTACCTACACATTCGTGCACACACACACACACACACACACACACACACACACACACACACACTCCCTAAAGAAACCTTTAAAAAGTGGGGTAGATACATACATTTTGATTTCAACTAAACTTTTCTCCTTTAAGAAATCCTATAGTGGAGATGAAACAGGAAAAAAAGATAAAACTAAAATACTTTCCTGCACTACAAAGGAGGGACAATGGCCAGAGCTCTTTGCTTTCCTCTCTTTCTGGTCCCTTTGTGTAGTATTGAGATCTGAGCAACCTAAGCAAAGGCCTGGATTAGCACATAAATGGCTGAGAAGAAGTTGATAACGAGTTGCCCATGCATGGAATGGAAAGCCTGTTGCTTGTTCCTTCCCTTTACAGGCCTTGTTTTCATCATTCATCCTACAGAAACAGGAGCATTTGCCTGTCTGGTATGGAGTGTCAAGTAACTTGTTAGTCAGTTTCGTACCTTCCTGACTCTCTTGAAAAGCCTATGCCCATACTACTGTTCTTCTCTTGCATGCTCTGTCCGCCCTCCCACCCGCCTCTATATGGGTCCACACCTATTTTGAATAAAGGCAAACTTTTTTCATTCCAATAAAATAATTTATTTTCCTTAATATTTATTTCCTTTCTACCTGTGCTCCACCTTAGGAACACTCTGAAGTCCATTTTGGCACTGAAAACTTAGTGGCTCATGGCGTAGACCCACAGTGGTTACTTTTCTTATTACTGTTACCTGACCCAAGGCGATGGAAAGGACAAAGGGTTGAGTCTCAGCTGACAATTTGGAAGCATGTGGCCTGCCATGACAGGGAAGGCACAGCAGCAGTAGCTCAAGACAGCGGGACACATTGCATCCACACACAGGAAGCAAAGAAGGGCTAGGAAGTGAGGATAAGCTACGAAACAGGCTTGTCCCCTCCCCTCTCTCAGCTCCCTCCCTCCAGGCACCAATTTCTAGAAAGTTCCATAAGGTTTTGAAACAGCAGCACCAACTGGAGACTGTGCTCAAATGCATAGGCCTATGGATGACATTTCATGTGCAAACCACTGCAGTGCTCAGAGTACTGTTTGAATAAATGAATGATGTCTTAGCTGGGTGAAGGAGCTGGGATTACTGTTGGCTTGGCGTATTGGACAGTCCTCACAATGCTAAGTCAGGCTTCTGTAATTTTCTAGGTCTCCATGTGTTTTATTTCCTTAATCTTCTCAAAAATCTACAAAATTGCTATTCTTTTCACTATTTCAGGACTAAAGGCTTCAAGGAAGTTGCTAACAATGATGTGTCTAGTAAAAAAGTGTCAGTGTTCCCAGCAAGGTCTCCAGACACCAAAGCCCATAGTTCTTTGTGTCTCTTATCTGCTGTCTTGCTCCTACCCTTCTGTTTCAGTGAGCAAGCTAGGCTTAGATCCGGGTGACTAACCTCTGGACTCAAAACCATAATGGCAAGGTGAGGGGAAGAACATTCAGGGTCTGGAATGGTCTTAGGTATAATTATGGGCAAGGTTGGTTTTGGAATCCACCATTTCATACTGTCTGTGTTTAATTCTCTTAATTGTGCTATAATGATCATGTGTATTATTCAGAGGGTCAAATGAACACTTTTGGATGCTATAAATGCCCTCTTCATGGATACCTCACCTGTTCACTTTTCTCCTTGTATGATTATATGCACAAACATTTTAGTAAATTCTTTAGAAAGGAATCAAACAAATTGTCAAGCTTTGTAACTGAATCCTACCTGGGATGAGCTTTTAGAGATCTGACATCATTACCACAAACCCTGCATTGTGTAATTCTGAATTTCTTTAAAGTACTAAACTAGAACATGAAACATTTTTTCCTGTTTCCTAAGGTATGTTTTTGTTGAAAAACCAAGTTCATACAACATTCTTTGTTCTTCTGGTTTGTTGTTGACTCCAGCAGTTAACAGTGAACCAGTTAGTTCTCTGTGGGCTTTACTGTTAAGTTGCTGTGCCTTTAGGGAAGACTTACCTAGTAGGCTATGTCTACTAGTAGCTAGTAGGGAACTCCAAGCTAACTGATTGGCTAAGTGAATTATACAAACACTGGAGACCCTGGAAGCCACTCCAGTATTTTTTTTCTGTTCATATCATTTGTTCATGTTAGAAAACATAGGTTCGTGTTATATAGTATAATAGTTCATTTTCCTTTACCTCTTCCACACTTGTTTGAATTGCACTGGGAAATTTTGGAGGATTTATATCCTTATCTTTGGGTTTTCCACCAGTATATTCATAAAGTTGCCTTCCCCATAGAGGTTTTAACATGAATAGCAAGATCAGAACAACCTTCCAAGTGAC